ATAAAATCGTACAGAATCTACCAATAGAATATATCAATATTTGTTTGAAGACTCAGCAATGGCGTAATTTTATTGTAGAAAATTTTTTGGCGTGAATATGGATAATGTTTTTATATTAGTCAACTAACAAATAAAGTAGTATCTCTATCTATTTTTATTTGACAGTATTTCGATTTTCGAAAGTTAATATAATTAATTTTTAAAGTTAAATTAAATTAGATTAATTTGATATTTTAAATAAAAAATTTAAATATTTAAAAAACTATACGATTATATTAAAAATAATGAAATATATATGGTATAATGTAAATTGAAGTACTTATAATTTGATTCTAACAAAGAAAATTATAACAACTAAAAATAAAAATGAACCTGGACTACATGCTGGTGCATATACATTTTGGTGTTCTTTTAACATATGTTTGACATGTTTTAAGTAGGACTTTTCCTTTATTTAATCAACACACGTTTATGATTTTGTGTCGAATTTAATATTCCACGAATATATTTTTATTTGATCATAATAAAGTATATGATTCGGTCTAAATATCGAATGTATAGGCAAAGAATGTATTTGAATTTTACATTTTATTCTTTTTAAATTATTAGGTTTTGAATTAGTAAGGAAAAATTACGAAACTAACTAATTTACCAATGTAGCTGAAATATTAATGTATTTAATATGTACGTATATTCAATACATTTATATAATAGAATACATAGTTAACAAAAGCTAATGAATTCAATTGAATTCGTATCTAATAGTCTTGCTCCGTCTCTGATTAAATGCAAAAATTTTTTACTATATTTTTTGTATATACGGTAAAATTTTATTTAATTAATACTTGGTAATTGATAATCTTCTCTAAATAAAAAGACATTTTTGGATATAGTTTCAAGAAATTTTCTATGTTGCTTATATAGTTTATTTTCTCACAATTATACATTGGATATTTTTAGTAAAAATACAATGAATAATATTTGAATATTAAAAAATAATGGACATTATATATAAGAAATTTCTTTCTACATAAATCATTAAATCCTTGAATTTATTTTACAATGAATAATTTAGCAAAAAATAATTATAATCTATGTATAATGATTTCTTTTAATAGAAATTTAATAAATATGATACATAATTTAGTAAGATACGATAATATTGATATATTTATTGTACTTTCTATATAAAAATTATTTTTTATGTAAATTCTATAAATATAATACATAAATTTGTGAGATATAATTTTTTTCCTATCTCATCAGAAAAACTACTTACTCCACAAAGATATTATTTATATGGAAATGAATCTAACTAATGAAACTTCAAAATACAAAATTATATTACTTCCCTAATTAATTAAAAATCTGAACTAAATGTTCCTTATTTAAATATGGCATGTACGTTAATATTTATTCACAATTTTATCAAAGAATATTTATTTCATGCTTTTCAAAGTTTCTTTTTGGTTTACACAATATGTCTTTTCGAAATAAATCCCGTAAATTATTCAAAATTATGAGGATCAAAGTTTACAAAGATAAAATTTGAAGTAGTGTTCGATTAATTATGAATTAATCAATATTCGGTTGATTGGCCTAAGGTTATTCAAAGAAAAAAAATAGTGTTGATTCAAGTGCTCCCTAATAACAAGTATTCTAAGAAAAGCTAGTTAGAGGAATATATAATAATTTACTTATTTTATATACATTTATTATTAATAACGCGATATATACCTACAAAGTACGTACTCTTGACTAGTCTTTAAATAAGTAATAATCGTGATTGATAATCTGGATTAACTTATAAATTCCGGTATAACATATAGAAATATTTAAAAATTCTATGGTATTTTTACGTTTTTTTTTTTGATACCTCATAAAAAATATTTCAATTTACAAAATATTTAATTACGAATAAAAAAAAAAGTGTCCTTTATCTAAAAAATTGATGGAAAGGTAATTAAAATTTGTCTTATCGAAGATACAAAGTATATCACTTTCCTAGGTTAACTCGATGTTATTTTATATTAAACCTAATGAATGTATGATATGTATTTTTATCGTTAGATCAAATTAATGTATAGTTTAACATAAATATTTGTTAATTAATATATATTTTAACGTAATGTTTTTATTTGATCATAATAGAATATATGGCTCGATCTAAATACCGAATACATAGGCAAAGAAGGGATCTTTCAAGTTATTAGGTTTTAAATTATTAAGGAAGAATTACAGATAAAATATTTACCAATGTAGTTAAAATATCAATGTATATATACATTCTGATTAATAATATGTACATATATTCAATACATTTTTATGATAGAATACATAGTAAACAAAAGCTATTGAATTCATAATATCTAACACTCTCGTTTCGCCTCCGACCTAATGCGAATAAGTTTTTATCATATATTTGTATATACAGTAAAAATTCACTAAATTAAGAATGTCTGTAATAGAATATTTTCCTCCATTCCTTTCTTGGGTCAATGAAAATTCACTCTTTTCGTTAAAATAATATATTTCTAGAAAATCCTATATAAATAATAGAATTAATTATTTTTTAAAAGTATAAATATATCTACGATATTTTAGAAAAATATGATACTATAGTGTTTTGCTTTTTTTTTAAATTTAAATCTAGTTGAAACTCATCTCTAACTTTTTTTTATTGCAAATCTTTTTGAGTGCATGTGGATTAATGATCTCTTTTGTACTCACATAATGATTTACGTATTTGATGTGTCATTGTTGATTCTATGACACCTTTTAGATGAGAAGTTATTTGTAGATATAGTTTCAAGAAATTTCTTATTTTACTGATATAGTGATATAATTTATTCTCTTACCATAATACGTAGTTTTTTTCCATAAAGACATAATGAATAATATTTATTATTAAAAAATAACAAACATTATATGTAATAAATTTATTTATACAATGAATCATCGCATTCTTGAATTTATTTTACAATAAATAATTTAACAAAAAAGTATATTACATTGAATCACAATTATACTTTATGCATGATAATTTTTTTTTTAGGAATTTAATAAATATGATACAATAATTTTGATATATTTACTTTTTATATAATAAATTTATTTTTATTTTAATTCAATAAATATGACACGTAAATAAATAATTATGTGATTTTTTTTTATATCTCATGAGAAAAACTTTTAATCCACTAAGATACTTATATGGAAATGAATTTAACTAATGAAACTTTAAGATACGAAATTATATCAATTCCCTTATTAATTAAAAACCCTAATTAAATGTTCCTTATTTAAATCTAATAACTTATACACTAACATTTATTCACAATTTTGTTAAAGAATTGCATGCGTTTCAAAGGTTTTTTTTTTTCTCTACACAAATATGTCTTTCCCTTCAAGAAATAAATCCCACAAATTGTTCAAAATTATTAAGAAAATCTCTAGTATTTTTTTCATTTCCTCATCAAATAATCCTTCCAAAAGCAAAAGAATTACAAAAAAAATCACTTCTACTAATTGTTACTTATCAACATTAAGTCTTTATGAATGTAATTGTCAATATCATGAAAATGAAAGAAAAAAAGTTCAAAAAAGACAAAATATTTTTTTCCAAGAAAAATTGGAATATGGAAAAAAATATTGGAGAAATTGTGATGATGAAGAAGAAGAAGATGAAGCTACTTTTGAGGAAAGGCAAAGTTTGGAGCAAAGAGCTGAGGAATTTATCAAGAGATTCTATGAGGATCAAAGTTTACAAAGGCAAAATTTGGAGTAGTGTTCGATCTATTATGTATTAATCAATATTTGATTGATTGATCTGAGGTTATCGATAAAAAATAATGATTGACTCAAGTGTTTTAGAATCGCGTGTAATAGTCATAATTTAAGGAAAGCTAGTTTGAGGAGTATATAGAACATTTGGTATTTTCGAAAGATGGAATCAGAATTTTAAGTTATAGATTATCTATACATATTTAATGGTTTTCTTAAGACAGGTATTAGTCTTAGATAAAGTTACTGAATTATGTCGAACTCGTAACTGATAAATTCATCTCTATTTTAGCATGACTGTCTATTATGGCTTCTTTTCTTCTTCTTTTTTTTACCGTTTAATTAGATGTTGATTAACTTTTTGACCTTTTTCTCATTTTATACGAGGGGATTTAGAAAAATAACTCTAAAAAGCAATTTTTGGAACTCTTTTGTTACTTTTTCCAAAAACAAAAAATTTACGTAAAAAGTACTCTCTCTGTCTCTATTTCATTTCTAAAGTGAACAATTAAATAGGGACAGAAGTAGTATATAATATATGTATTTTTATTTAATTCACGTAATATTTTTAACAAACAATATTCAATTAATCTCCCTTCACTCAACTTAGCTTTGCCCATGTATACGTTAAATACATTGTTTAGATAATTAATGGGTGACTTTAATCGATTGTTGCATTTATAATTTCTTTACCACTATTTTCTCTCTATCTTTTATGTAAGAATATTAGTTGTCATGTTTTACTTTTCGAGCGTTTAACTATATTACTTCTAACTTCATCTGTTACTTTACATGCATACACTATTTTTTATGCGGTAAAATACAACTAATAATATACTCAGTATAATCTGTGAGTTGAATCTAAAGAGCGTAAGATACACATATCTTATCATATACCTAATTTTAGATATGACAGTTAGGCTATAACATGGTTCAAACTGCTAGAGCTAAATTTAATTTTTTAAAAACAAAAAAAAAAACTGCTACTTAGTTTCTTACAGATGGTTATTCTTCAAAAATATAGTACACATCAGTGACTGATCCATCGTTATAATATCGAGTTCATTTGAACCCAATATTCTCAACGTGGAGCATGAACATATAAAAATTCAATAAAGTACAACACATAGTAGATATGAACTCATAACTTTAAAAATATAATAGATTCAACGCATTAGCAACCCGAAGAAAATATAAAAAAGTTTGTGTAGATTCGATTCGAAGAAAAAGAAATGGAGATTCTTTAAAAACTAAACTGAACCACTAGTCTAAATTCTGAATTCACTTCTGGTACACATTTTTGGGTGTTCATGTTTATATTTTTCAAGTACAAAACAACTGTTATAGTATCTTTACCTCATTCACATAAATATTTTACAAAAAATTGTACTACAAAACTTTTGATGCAGATAGATTTTCCTTTCCATCCATGGAAAAGAAACAAGCTATTTCCATCTACTAAATGTGCAAAACAGGGATTATCATATATATATATATAGAAAGTTTTTCGAGTAATCCAATTCCTTCGTGGTGTGACTTAAATGGCGCGAATCCAGATTTAGTTGAACGTGAGGGTTTTGGACATTGAATTGCTTTCAATGAGTATTTCACCATCAGCACAATCTCAAAACTGATCCTGTTCAAATTATTCTAGATAAATGGTTTATGCTAAACTAACATGGAGGAGTTTTCGCACAACTGAATATACTAAATTTGCTAGCCAACTATGATGTTCGAGCTAGGATATGGAAGGGTTTAGAGAACAAACCTCTTTCGACTAAATGGCCAATTTTGTGAACTTAGCAACAAAGAGTCCGCTTGTACAAGATGTCAAAGGATCAAATCGTAAGGTTTTCTGTATTCGACCACTCTTGCATGGCCAATTTTTGGCAGCAGTAATCTCCAGCAATTCTGAAAATAAATAAGAAAACTGACTGCACAATACAACAAAAAACAGGGAGCTGGTAGACGGAAAAGTGTCAGAGATGAGGAAAGCCTGTACTCGCAAGGACTATGAATCAACGGTGTATTTCACGCAATTCCTGTGAACTCTTATGATGATTTACAATGCAGCTGAATAAAACCTGTCTTGTAAGACTTTTGTTAAACTTTTACTTACATTATACGGCCTCTGCCAACCCCCTCAAACCAGTTAACTTAGAAGTCCCTAGCCAGGTGATAAAAAAGGAGCAGCCCGGTACACTAAGCTCCTGCTATGCACAGGGTTCGGCCGGACCACAATGGTCTATTGTATGCAGCCTTACCCTGCATTTCTGCAAGAGGCTGTTTATTTTCCGAATGGTTCAAGTATAACTTTCAAAACAGCAGCTGAAGCAACTTCACTATAGGTATATATGCAATGGATAATGAACAACTTTGACCACATATGTGATCATATCTGGCACCCAGCTTGTGAAATTACAAGCACATCAAGCTATCAGTTTCTAGATTTATTACAAAAGTAAAATTTTACCTGCATATGTGTTCTCCGAAAGGAACCGCTCGACCACATCTTCGTTCTGAGCAAAGGTTAAACTATTTGGTACACCCACACAAACAACGAAAAGGATTTATGAGTATCAATAGAATGGAAAGAAAAGAGGATCTGTAGCCATGGGATTACAAGCAGATGGACGGATACCTGCAAGTGCTATAGACAAGGGCTCCCCCAACTCTGAGCAATCTGAATCCATTAGTTAGAAGTTGCAGCTGCAGGAAACGGATAAATTATTGTGCGCAAAGATATAGGAAAAAACAAACTTGAGCAAGGAGAGGAACTTTGAATGAGGAAATCAGAAAACTTCACTTAAACATGGAAATTTAACTACATGTGGCTGAATTCAGAAAGATTCATCTATTCATGAGAAATAATTTTGAGGACACTAAAGCTGGAGCAGAAGAGAGATTATGCCCATCCTCCAGAAGTAACAAGTGTTACATGCAACACTATAGAGCTGCAGAATCTTCCCTACCACATTTCCAAGAAACAAGCTCAATTTTTTGTGATGATAGAACCCAGTCACCAACTTCTCCGGATTTTGCAGCTTGAGACTGGATACTCTTCTATAGCCTTTTCTAATTAAAGAGTACCTACTACCCCTAGCAGCCCACAATAAAAATCATCTCCAAACTTAAGTTCCAGACTTCCAGTCGAACGTGCTACTAAGACCTGGAACAAACATCTAAATTAATGGCAAAACTTGGACGTGACTTACTAAATTCATTTTGATATACCTAATTGCGATTCTGGGTTCTAAAAATATTGAAGAGCAATAAGCTTTGAGATGTCTTTTTTTTCCTTATCACACAACAATATGCATGCCAGATAAGATCTAGTGATTCGAGAGATTGCTTTTGAAATTCTTTCCATGGCCTTTTCTTCAAAAGGTCTCCACAAATAACACACAGGTTAGATCTAGAATCAATAGCACACTCACATCTTGTCATTATGGGTATGTTCGTGCTTTTTGAGAGTTAGAGACAATTCTTTGAGTAAGATGCAATTATCTAAAGCCTCGAGTATAGTATATATGTGATCCAGACAACAGACAGTTAACAAGACATTAGAAAACCAGCAAAATACACAAAGGGGTACAATGTTGCATCTGTACATTCTCATGTTTTAACAACAAAAACATACCCAGTGTAATCCCGCAAATGGGATCTAGGGCAACTGGGCAAGTAAGATGTACGCAGACCTTACCCTAACTTTGTGGGGTAGAGAAGTTGTTTTCGATAGACCCACAGCTTAAGAAGTGTAATCAGAGTAGACAAAAAATAACGACCGCAAAGTAGCAAGATGAACAAAGCAAATGAAATAAATAGAAGACTAACAATTAAGGAGAAGATGAAACGAGACAACCCCTAGCCTCTCCCGCATAAAAGTACTACAACAATCGGCTACCTACCACCCTTCTATCCTAACCCTCGACCTTCATTCCTTCCTATCTAGGGTCTCCTCAGTAAGTTGAAGGTGTGCCATGAAATTCTTGATATGCCTATTCATCTGATATACTGTTATGCTTCATTTTACTATTTTCTAGTAACAAGGCAATTATCATTAAGGAGGTTAGACATAAATTATATAAATAGTTTCAAACTACTACTTGCCACGAACCAAGCATAATTATCCAAATTATACTAATTTTTACAAGCTATTAGCCAATCTCTGTTGTTAATCAGTAGCTTTATCAGCTGCAAAAATTGGCAGAGTATTTTCAAGGCAAAATATATATGTAGGTCTGGGAAAACAAGCTAACTTCAGCACCTGAAGGATAGTAAGATCATCGGTTCTTTCTGCATCTAGCACACGGCGCTGGAAGGTTGTCCAGCCCCATTGCTCAAATTTCTGAACATGCTTAATAGAACCATCATGGGTACATTCTGCATCCACAAGAACCTGACTTAAACTCGAACTAGTCAGTAGTTATTTAGGAAAATATAAGAAAATATCTTAAAGCCGTTATACTGTTGAATAGGAACCAAAACAATAATCTTGACTTAATGAGGATCAAGTTTTTAGAAAAGGAAAATAAGCCTTCAAGTCAGGGAAAAGACAAATTAAGGTTAACAGAAAACATCTGGAGGTTCGGAACTTTGGTGTACCTTGTCGTAGCCAAGCTGTAAAACCTCACTGATAGGCATCTTTTGATATAATTCATTTTTTCTCATCCCAACCACCCCAGAATACCGGCCATAAAATATAAGCTCTGGTTCTTGAGTTGGTGAGAATAGCTTGGAGACACCTTTTTCTCTAGCTATAGCTTCCTTCTTCCTTTCTTTCCATGGTCTGCGAGACTTCCACTCCCCATATACTTCAAATTTTTCTCCTGAAGCAAATTCATCCGCTAGATTAAAAGAAAAACAAAATACCTTGGAGTAAGACTATGACCAAAAAGACTTGGCAAAAATCAGTAAGAAACAAAGAAGCATTGCAACTAAAGGTTATTAAATGATAATCATTTTACCATTTTCATTTTGCAATGTAGAGCCTGAATGGACCCTGACAGGGAGAAGAGAAAAGCTGGTTCCATCAGCAACAAAAAGACGACAATGACCACCAAGACTATATTTCTGTAGCATGGTTCTACAGGCCGCTAATCGATGTTTTGCAATGTCAACACCAGTCACAGAACCCGAACTGCCAAGAATGTCCAACATCATACAAAGTTTAGCACCTAAAAGAAGATATCAAAAATGAGTTACAAATTGGAATGCTGTATCAGAAGTCTATTACATGGTACTTGGAAGTTCAAAAGCTTCAGAAAAACATGTGGTTCTACAGATTAATTAAAGAGGTCAAGGAATCTTCAGTTTTCACACTTGAACAGAAATGCCTATGAATAATTCATATCTATATAGTACATACTTCATTTAGCTATGGCCTTCTCCGGCCCATATCCAGCACTTGTCAAAAAAAAATATTAGATCCGGGAATTTTAGTTATTTTAACGAATACACTATTATTTGTTCAATAATATACTTTTAAAGACATTTACTTATTCTCAAGATCTCTTAATATCCAAAGCAGGAGATCACTTCTTAACCACTTAGAACTTCCTCTTTGTCGCCTAGGCTATTATCGTAGTAAAATGTTTGAAGCACTGGGTTGTTATACTCTTGACAGATTCATAATAAGGTAGGTACCTCTTGCTAACACTGTGCCCTGAATCAAAATTCTTAGTAACATGTGAGGAGACCAAGTGCCAAAATCAACAGCCATAATAGAAATTTACTTTTTCCATATTCAAGTCAGGAATTACCAGGTGCAGCACAAAGATCAAGGACATGATCCCCTACTGAAATGTCCAAAGCTGTCACAGCAGCTCCGGATGCTGCATCAATTCCATACATCTGGATACAAAGACAAAATAATTACTCAAAATCATCAATTATAATGGAATGGGTCGTATTTTCTAATCAACCGCTAGACTAGGAATGTTCCTATATAAAGCTGATCACTGCGGGGTAAATTTTGCTTAGATGACACTCTCCTAACCAGAAAGCCAACAAGTCAATTGCGGGGAATAGCAAAAAATTAAAGATAGTGTTGGAGAGAGAAAAAGGGTTAGTATATTTTTGTAGGAGCAGGAGACAAACTTTTATCTGCTCTAATCTTTAGAGAATGTTAAAGGAAAAAAATTTCATGAAGAGCATTTTTGACATACTGGAAATTGAATAATAATCTCAAGGCTCGTGAGTATCATATTCACCAAGAGTCATTATTAAAAAGATTCCTCACCTTCCCTTCTTGGTACGCCTTCGAACTAGCAATTCGAACATCAGGTTGAAGATGATAAAAGTTGGGCAACCAACACACTCTTTCAAGCTTGCATCTAATATCACTTTCAATTTCTTCAAGCAAATCCTCATAACCAGGCTTTATCCTTCAAAAAAAAAAGAGAGTCTGTGGAAGATCTCTCACATCTATTTTTGTGAAGACACGTCCTTTAATATCCTAAGAGTGTGACTGTTTAGCGGAAAATGATGTTCTTCTGGAAAATTTTCTTATACTGAAAGCATTTTCCGATGTTTCGTCATCTTGAATTGGTGGAAGGTGTTTTCTCTGAGAAAAATATCTTCCACCAACAGGAGAAAAATGACACAATTTATTTCTGGACAGATATCAGTTCGTTTGCAAATATCCGAATTATTCCACTTGCTCCAATTAACAGGTAAACATTGTTGACTACTTTTATTCATATCACAAAAACACTATCATTGTACCATATACAACATTCTGTAGATTACAATAGACAATTTACTTTTATACACAACCAAACACTAGAAAAAAGATCCAAAAGAGTTTAATTCACATGGTGGAAATAGATTTTCTTTTTTTTTTTAAGAAAAAGATATTTTTATGTTAAAAAAAAATCTAACGCAAAGTGTTTTCCTCCATACCAAATGCACACTAAGATTATTACTCTTCCATCACACAAGTTTCCTTCAGCAAGCTTGCTATACACCCGAAGGCAGTATGTTGCTACAAGTAAACATATCTCTAATATGTGTTAGTATAAAAGTTGGGCAATGCTAACTAGATTTATGTGATTCTATAAATAAGAAAAGGAACAGGTATAAAGAAATTTCAACAGAATTGAGATATATGTAAGCATAAACTTAATTTATGGCTGATTCTGACAGGTTTTGTAAGTTGTAACAATTCTAATCGGTTAACTTGAAAAGAAATAAGATTCAAAAGTATCACCATTCTAGCACCCGAGGGTGTGGCGCATGTCGCAACACCAATGAAGTTTGAACCATGAGAGAGACTGGGGTTCAAATTCCAACATGCGCAAGAAGTGTGAGGTAATTTCTTACTATTTGTCTGAGCCTTGGTGGACATAATTATCTAGTATTTGTGTTGGTGGGAGGTAGTAAGTACCTGAATTAGTCAAAATGTGTGCAAGCGGACTTGAAACCACGGTTATTAAGAAAAAAGCATTAGCACTCTATTCTCCTTATTTATTATCATGGAAAAAATCCATTATGTGATTTTGTATCATCTATTTAAGCATTGGTGAACAGAATTACCCCGTATTTGAACTAATAGAAAGTAGTACGAACCCGATAAATTAGTCGAAATGCACCCAAGTTGAACTGGACACCACTGTTATCTCAAAAAGTAAAAAAGTATCACCACGAACTTATTTATTGTCATTGGAAGCAAAAGGTGAATTCACACAATGAAGTAACTGACGGCATTTTGCTACTTATTAGTCACATCACATTTGACAGACATTATGTAAATAACAAAAATGAGTTAATGCACTAGGCATGCTTGCAAGTTGCAAAAAGTACCTTATATAGCGAGGTATGGAATCGGTGGCAGTATAAATAGAAGGATCCAAGTCATGTTGATTCAGAAAATCAAGAAAAGCATCTGGCAGAGGCAAACTTGAGGTTTCTTCCACATCCATCATCACAAAACTAAAAAAAAGACAACAACTTTTATCAAGTCAAGAAAGTGAAACCCATTATTCCTTTGAAAAAAACTCTTCAAACATAAAAAACCCTACTATGTCTTTCTACCCACATTGATAGGGGTAAGGTATGTGTACGCCCACCCTGCCAAGACCCAACAACTTACCCAGTGTAGACTAACAAAAACAACAACATACCCACTGTAATTCCACAAAGCAAGGTCTTGGGAGAATAGAGAATACACAAACATTAACCCAACCTCATAGATAGTTATTAAGACGTTGTTTCCCATAAACTTTCAACCAAGAAACACAGTTCAAAAAGAAGTAACGGAAGTGAAAGCATAACAAAGCTTACTAAAGCAGTAACTACAACAAAATAATCCCCTGGGCAAATTGTTGTTTGTTTGTTATATTTAAGTAGATTTTTAACATACTTAATGTAGATCCAACAACATACCCAGTGTAGTCATACCAAGTAGGATAGAGTGTACATACACCTTACCTCGACCTCAAAGATAGTGAGTTTGTTTCCATAGAGAAAAACAATTCAAAAAACGCAACCTAATTGAAAGCTGACTTAGCAGTAACTACAACAAAATAATCCCGGGAAATTTAGTTGTTTGTTTGTTGTTAAATTAACTAGATTTTAAACACAGATACATAATTTGGGCCTAAATCTATCATGTTCAACCAAACCCGCAAAACTAACACTCTAGCTCCGTCTCCGGCCGCCGCACTAACAAAAGGGAAAAAGGAAACGAAAGCAGTAAACAGAAGTTCGTCGGAATACCTGAAGAAAAAATTGTCGAAATAATATGCTGAAATATTGTTGTTTCTGTACTCAATTTTACAATAACCAAAAGAAACTGTATAAATCGAACTACGAATGCTTTTCCATAATCTCCATGAAAACTCCAATTCATCTATTGGGCCTGGGTCGGACTCCAGTGAAAAAAAGACCGTTTTTACCCTTGAACTATTCGAAATAGAATAATCTTATGTTCCGTTATAATCAATAGATATTGCTAATATGAAGAAACAATATCAAATGTAAGGTTGTTTATCGATGATTCAATTCGATTTACTGTAAAATCTCTATAAATTAATATAGGTTGGATCAAGAAATTTTATTATTTTATAGAAATATTATTTAATCGATAAATTGATATTTATTAATTTAAAAAACGATTTGAGATTTGATGAAGGTTAATGTTGATTATATAAAATAATTATATCGTACTAATATATATATTATATTTATTGATTTCACATAAAAAGTATTACACATAAAGTGCAACGAATACATCAAAATAATTGTATCTTACTAATTTCGACTTTGTGAAGTTGTGATAGTAAGAGATTATGTATGATCGAGCAGATTTTATCGTAGGAATTAGAAGGCTATGAAGTAGGACAAATTGATCTAACAAAGATCAATATTTGGATGCTATCAATTTTGCAATCCCTGTTATTTTAAAAAAGATATTCAGCAAGAAACAATACAACAAATTGTTTTCGACACTGTAAAATTTATTTGGGGGACGCAATTTCAGGGACTTTGAATGAACTACTTGTGAAAACATCATTCATGAACTTGAGGTCATTATTAATGATCTCTGTTACCACAATAAAATGGATGATAATAACGTGTTGGATAATTCGAGTGAAAGTGATACATGTTCAGAGGACTAGAACTTAGAAGTAATTGCGGATACCATCAGAAAAAGTAATGTTGATGATAAAGTTGAAGAAGATATTATACATTTGGAACCAGTTGCGCGTAAGAAAACACTTATCGCATCTAGAACTCTTCACAATCTTATAAGCAATTTGAAAATATTAACACCGGAGCTCGTGGATGCAATAAGAAAAGTTAGAGATGAGCTTCAACCATATTTAAAAAAAAAAAAAAAGAGAACACAATAGAATCATATTTCGCTAAATTGTCTACAAATATATGTCTTTTAAAGAATTATTAATTTATGATATTAATAGGACCATATATTTATATAGAGATCTTCTGAAAATATATTATCTTATTATCTTATCGAAAATGATGAATTTTTCAAGTGGCCCAAGTTGAAACTAAAGGAAAATATTATTTTAGAGAGATTATTAATTTATCAAGTATTAATTTATCGAATATTAATTTATAGAGGTTTTACTGTATATGTTATGAATTAGTTTTATTAGTTATTGATTAATTGCTAAATATGAGTGGTAAATCAGTAATTTTTAATAATTTAGTCATTGATAAGTTGATAAAAAAAATGTATTGAATCAATGATCAATTTATTTGCTAGATTTTTTTTTCTTTTGGTTCTTGATTTCATTTGTAATATGGACTTTCGTCAGCAATGATATCTTTTTAAGTTAAATTAATTATTTTTTTACTTTTAAATTATGATATGTCATCACTCCATCCTCAAGTCACTTGGATTTGAGTTCTAAATTGTGAAACTATTAATCTAAATTGGATTTAATTCGAACTATTTAACCTTAAAACACTCATGATGTTTTATCGATATATTGATATCATTTCAATATCATATAGGTCTGACCCTAATCGTTTATGATACTTCGTCGGCATATTGTTACTCTATTTATACCAAATAATTAAGACAAAATTATCAAAGTCAAAATTTTATTTATTAAAGTCTAAATTAGTAGATTTTTTTTTTAATTTCTTGCAATTTTATTTTTTAAAAAATATATCTAAATTATGACTCTTTTTAAAATTATTTTTAAATTAAAATATTGAAAAACTATAACAAATCTCAATGATAACATATATGATATATCGTAATGATATCATAGAAGATTGAGTAATCTCATTGGATGACTCAAACAAATCTATAAAAAAAAACATTGTTCAGTTACTCATTGACACTATCATATTATATTATACTTTAATGATATAACCCTTGGTTTGGATCATTGCTATTCATTGTTACTTATTGTTTCATATAGTATTGTATTGTATTGTACTCTATTGTGTGGTAGATACAATGTTTGGCTAGACTGTATTGTTTGTTGTTGTTTAATAACTTTTTAGTCGTTTGATTTGATTGTATCGTAATGTATTGTATTTTATAAATTTACAAAAATATCCTTAATTATCCTAATGTAGGAGGTTTGACTAAATTTAAATAATTAAGGTAAAGGGTAAAATAGTATTTTGAAATATTATATAAAGATATAATTGAAAAAAGAAATTAAGTAACAATGGGAATACACCAAATTGGTTGTTCCATAAAATAGGGGTTTCCATTGTTACGTAACAACGAAATTTAACAATAAAGTATAATACATTTTAAGTAACAATCAAAACAAACATTGTAGGTATAGTAACGATACAATACAATACAATGGATAACAATGATCCAAACATAGTCTAAGGAGGAGGAAGTCGACCTTCAATGAAGACACTGCTCACTTATTCATACTAATATTATATTCATAGTAACTATGATATATTGTGATAGTATTAGTGAGAAATAAAAGGTTGGACGTTGAGTTAGTTTGACTCAGCAAAAAATTTAAGAAAGAAGAAACTGATTGTCTAAAATAAAATACTCCCTCCGTCTGATTTTATGTGGCATGATGTCCTTTTTGGTTAGTCTGTCATATTTCCTTATATAGTAAGTATTTAAAGGTATAATTTCTCTTTTACCCTTATTGGTCCCACTTAATTTTCTAATATATTTATGAAGAGAGAGAAAAGTGAGTTACTTTTTTGAAGTGTAATTTGGTAAACATTTTAAAGTCTTCATTATTTCTTAAACTCCGTCCCAAGTCAAATGTTGTCACATAAAATGGGACGGAGGGAATAAGTGATAATATCTGTATAGCTAGAATTTATTTTTAAAACTAAATTGTTACTTATTATATAATTACGTTATTTTTTTGAACAGATTAAAAAGAAAATTAAATAATAACTTGTTCATCAAGTAAACTTTATTTTGTTGTTGCTCAAACAAAAATTGATTCTGCAGAATTTTAACCTTGTGAGTTCGTTAACAATGGTGGAGGAGGTCAGATTTTTCCCCTTTTTGTTGTTATGAATACTCAGTGCAATCTGTAAATTCAAGTTTTGCGTTTTCTATTTAACAATTTGCATATCCCCGTTGATATTTTTTTCGTAACTGTTTTTTATTCAGGCTGTAATGATCTGTATTGATAATTTTGAATGGATGCGTATGGTGATTATCGCAACCGGTTTTATGCACAATATTCGGCTTTTACTTCGATTTGTGATTTTAAACACATGGTTGGTAGTGTTTTGCCCATTGCCAATTGTTTTTTAGTTATACAAAACTGCTATTATCAGTGCTTATCAATGGCGAAATGTTAACATTAGAAAAAATTGTGAAGTTTGAAGCTCAATACGACGATGTTAGTTTCATTTGTGGTGCTACAATCCAAGTAGTTTATTCAACTTTTGAATTGTTTGTTGATAGGATTTCGGGTATAACTGATTGTTTTTGAGTTACATAAAACTGCTATGCATCAGTGTTTATCAACAATGAAAGTGAGCCCTAAAAAAGACTAATAGTGTAGGGTTTGAAGCTCAATCTGATGTTGTTAGTTTCGTTTATGTGGTGCTAAAACACAAACAGTTTATTCAACCTTTGAATAGTTGGTGACAATATTTTTTGCCATAATTATTTGTGTTCGAGTTATATAAATTGCTATGAATCAATGTTATCAAACGAGAAGTGAACCTTTAGAAAAGGACAAAGTATAGTGTAGAGTTTAATGAAAGAAAATGCAGTTGTAGAAATTATATAAAAAAAAGTATATATGTAATTCAAGAACAACAATGGTAGTCTACTAACTGAAATAGTTACTGGTTAGTGGTATGCTTTTCAAGAGGGAGCCCATGGGTAATGAACACCCGCCATAAGTACTTTGATGCAGTAAGCTCAACATGTTCTGCATCTAGCTTCTGGGCTTAAATGTGCCTCAAATGAGTTTTTGACAACACTGTTGTGAATATAATCAAAGACTTTTCTAAAAATACTTACTTATAGAAAGTTTGTGAACTATCACTAAGTAGTGGATGTAATGGTCCTCCGTACCTACTGATCATGAATTTTACTCTTCTTAGGATTTTCGTGAATAGCTGACTCAATGACGTTACATTGTATTTCAGCAATTTCTTACCTTTTAGTAAGCACCGAGTCTATACTCTTGACTGTTCCATTGTATGATTTGGTTAATCGATTTGCAGGCAAACGCTGAGAGTACAGTCGGAGCATTAACCATGGTTGGCAAATGAGTTCGTGTATTAATCACTCCAACCAGTGTTTCGAAGAAATGTTATCTTGCAGTAACAGTAAGCTTCTATGCATGACTATGCTTTTCTTCGTAGTAATTTATTACTCTGTAGACGCCATTAAAATCACTTCTATCGATTTGCAGCTTGCTATATTGACATTAGATTTAACGAAACCTAGGCTTACTAGAATTTTATGAGATTATGATGCCTAGAACAAGTATGGAAGATACGTGATTGGTTTTGAGTAATGACTCTATGCGGTTCTAGTGCCACTTCTGTAGGATCTTGACAAAGGTTTTTCCAAATTTTACTATTTAGTACTCTAGATTTGCTGGTGTTCACTTGTGTGTGCCTAAAGACACTTGTTTCTTCCAGTTCAGGCTATTCGTTCTTTACCATTTTGCAATTACATTTTTGTCCTACGATAGAAGATTTACATAAAAAGGTTGCCGATATTCCTGATATCACCACATCTTCTGTGATGAAACCTACTTATACCCTTCATAATTTTTTAAGTTATCCATAAAATTTGCAGGTATGTGTATCTATGAAAAGAGAGAATGAAAATGTGTGTTTTGCTAAATAAGATGTAATAAAAGATAATTTGTCCCTACAGTGTCTGATAGCATTTTTAGTCCCTTACTCGGCAAAGGCAGAGAAAGAAGCTTTTGAATGCCAATTGAATGACATGTACCAAACGAAACAAAATAAGAA